TGATCTGTAGTAACAAAACACGGTATGTGGTAACTAATTCATCTGTATTATAACACGTCAATTAGTTATTATATCACACAACGTTAATCTTGTACCATATCCTTTTGTGAAGGAGGGTATAACGCACTCGGCATCCCAAGTAGTGATCGACACATTGAGATTAAACAAGGCACCCACATCTGTGAGAGAGACTGAGAGTCTGAGATTGACTGATGATGAAGCACGCACAAGCAGAAGTTAAGGTAAATTGCAACTGTGTCTTTGAGAAAGATGCAACTAGTTATACAAGTCATCAATCTTCTTAATGGCAATCGACATCAAATTTTTAACTTGTAGACAAGTGGTTGTCAGCACAATGGAGAGAGATATTTAACTAGATCGAGCCTTGTAGCATGAATTTGTAATTAAACATGACATTAAAGTAATTTATTGTGCTATGAATAAGTTAAGTGGATGAAAAATTTATCATTATGTTTGATTAAGATCAAATTAAGCACACCATAAATTCTCACATTTGCAGAAACAAGACAGATAGCAAAACTCACTTTCAAAGATAAACATATCTGACTAGCTCTTGGGGTTGGGGGATGCAAAACAAGTTGTTCTTTTAATTCTTTTGGGAGTTCGAGACTTGAGAGACGTCCATCTGTATGGACTCATAGTCAAATATGATCATAAACGTGGTCGGCCCTCCAACTTTAATTGCTCAGCTCCTCCTCTTGACTACTTGACATGCAATCTGGTTGTCCAAGACTCAAGATCTTACATTGACAGTCGAAAGACATTATGAAATCGTTATTTACCAAATTCGAATCTAAAATTTAAGAGAAATAATACTAGACTGTAATATTAAATACAACAACAACAAAGCTAATGGGATTGGTTGTATGAATTGTAGAACACCACTACACTCGCTTTTGCACTATGTCTTTTGTTAGTTCCAAGGGCTTCATGTCTTTTCTTAAAGACTATTTCTAAGTCTTTATATGTCTTCATCTACTTCTTTTGCCTTGAATCTTTGTCTCTTGTAATATTAAATGACCCGTATTTTTCTTTAATTTCTTTTAAATATTGATCAAAGTTGTTACGTGTTATGAAGACTTTGTAATAGTGACCACTACCCTAGGCTTTTGGCATATTTGCTTACTAGAAGAATATATAGATGTGGGGATAAAAATCACCCTCAACATTATTTTGGGTGGGGTTGGGGGGGGGGGGGGTGTGGGGCGGGCAGTGTTAGGGAGAGAGCTCTAGGATTAAGCATGGACCCCAATGTATTGACACCTTTGACAGCCACATTTGAAGCTTGAAAATTACAAGTTTGGCAAAACTTGTTTAAATTCTAGGCTATCGATCAATATAACCGGCCTAATGAAATAGGAACATTCAAAGGTGGATATTGGAGAATATGTGCTCCAAGATTGCCTAGGCAAGTCTAAGACCCGAGGGGTATAATGTGTAGTGGTACCAAAACAGGCATAGGTAGGGTTTGATAAGTACATACATTGGATTGCATTTGCATGCGTAGATTATATATATGCATATGTAGAAGTTGAAAACAGAGGACGAGGCTTGACGATGGAAATGTTGCTTTTTTGTGACCAAAAAGTCACGAGGTTTGAGTCGTGAAAATGACTTCTTTATAAAACAATGGTATGCTAATAGACGTTCTCCTCCACTCCCCTCCCCTCCCCCCAATCCACAACCCTCACAAAGCAGGGATCCTTGTTGGCATGGGGCCACCATTTTATAGAGGTTGAAAAGGATGCCTTGGCTATCAAGTGAATATCACCATATTTGGTCCATCCTATCACAGCAACGCTTACTTAATCATACGCCCTGGAAATTAGAGTTTAGGGTTTAGGGCCGTGATGAATCTTAAGATATAGCCCGGGACTTACTTCCCACATTACTGCAATCCTTCCAGCATTACCCCCATTATATCGGGGGAACTAACGTACCTTAGGACGAGAGATTCATTCATGCAACCAGTATTCAGTCTTAATACCTTAAGTGTGTCATCGTCTAATATTTGTGTGTCACGTGTTTGAAGAGCTAAAAAGAATTGGATTTCACATTGCAAATTAAACAATAATTGAAACAATCTCATAGAATTATATGAATAGAACACATAGTATATGCTTAGGTGGTGCATGCCTTACTTTCCCACCAAATGCAGGGCTTTTGAAGTGCAGATCGATTTGCATCATGTGCCCATGACCTAATAAGAAGGCACCGTCATCTTAAATGAAATGCAGATTGGAAGTTAGCCACGTTAATTTGTTCAGTGTTTTATGATGTTGCTATGACTCTTGTGAGAACATACAATTCTAACTCTATCGTTCTCTGTCTCTGCACTACGTACACTACATCTCTTAAATATCTGCTGTACGACCTGTCGGACCACGTGTTTGTGCAGCTCTACACAAATTATAATTCTTCTGTATGTTTTTATATCACCTAGATTATTTGTAGTCGTACGCAAGAGCTCCCTTCATCTACCATTCATCTATATACGGATTTTATTTCTAACAAAATTAAAAAACCAGAAGAGAAACAATACATCAAATTGGAGAGATTTGACAAGAAACCAACCATCAAGAGACAGATTTGACAAGAAACCAACCACCAAGAGACATGACCAAAATCTAGTAATTAATCAAATAAGCGCCAACAACATGTAATCCCTATGCCATGCATATCATCTTGTTGTCATCCACAAGCTTACAATCCAAACTCAATAGAAACGAAAGTGTATAATTTGACGGATACCGAGTATCAATTTACAATACATTTGTCTATATTGATAATATAACAATCAAATACGGCCGACCTACAAGAACTTCATGTGGGGCCCCATCAAAAACAAAATGTGAACATATATCACATTGTCACTTATTAAGTGGACCAAATTTTATGTGTGTAACTTATTATATCAAAAGGCTACTTCAAACCAATAAAGCTCTCTGCTTTGCGAGGGTAAGATGTTTATCGTACGTAATCTTACTTTTATTTTGCAAAAAGTTATTCCTATAACTTAAACTTGTGACATTTCAATCACGATTCATAAGGGAGCAATTTTTAATTGAGCAAAAACTCACCCTAGTCTAACTTTTTGCATAATACCAAAATAAAAAACATTTTATCCAAATAAAAGAGTAAAAGAAGGATAATAATGGCACCCAACCTACACCCCATTCATTAGACGACCTCTACGTAGCTGTCCAACACCCCCCTCAATTAATGCCTTTTTTTTCCCTTCCCCACCACCACCACCGCCACCACAATCCTCCCACTTGTATATATTCGCCCTTTCCCCAAACACTCCCTTCTCTTCTGTAACTAACTCATCACACTCCACAAGTGTTTTTCCAAAAAGTTAAAAAAAAAAAATGATCCCAATAGCAAGTCTTTTCCTAGCCACTTTGCTCCTCACTGCTTCACTTGGCATCTCAGCCCGACCCGGATCGGATGGACCCTTCTCAGCTGAGCTCAAGCACTCAAAGGACAAAGGTGGTGCTGATACTGGTGGCGGCAATGGTGGCCTTGGCGGGTTTTTCCCGCCAGGGTTTGACATACCCGGGTTCGGAAAGGGGTTTGGAAACGGCGTAGGTGGCGGGTATGGGGGTGGGTATGGAGGTCCTAATGGAGGGTATTCCAAGGGTGGAACTGTGAGGACTTCTCTTGTGTGTAAGGAAAAGGGTCCGTGCTACAAGAAGAAGCTGACGTGCCCTGCTAAGTGCTTCACTTCCTACAGCCGGTCAGGGAAGGGTAATGGCGGCGGCGGCGGCGGCGGCGGGTGCACTATAGATTGCAAGAAGTGTACTGCTTACTGCTAGAGGAATAGGCTGCTCCCGCTCCTTTAGTTATGGTACTGCAGCCGGTAGTTACGATAATTAGTATGGTTATGCATGTGATGTGATGTAAACCCACGATATATATGATACATCATTTTGCTTTATCTAAGAGTAATGTTCTCTTGCCCCGCAAGCTTGCATTTGCAACCGCTTTCAGATAATAAAAACGCTTATGAGAATGTTCAGTAGAAATAATTTATTCACAACAAAAACGTCTTTGGCAATGTTTGGTGAAAAAAACAATTAAAAATGCTTCTGAGCTGAGCCTTCTTGTGCACAAAAGTGATTTTTTACAAGAAACACTAGAATTTTTGTTGAAATCTTTGGTGTGCCTCTAAATAGAAAGGCGTTATAAACAAAAGCATTTCCAACCCAAATAGAGTTTGATAGTTCAATAATCTTAACATTCTTATTTTTTGTTAAACAAGGTTGGTTAGATAACTTTCGTAACAAACCAGACTAGACTTGGACCCCAAAAAACATACGTTATCTTTCACTTAGGATAAGAATTTGGATCATTTCCATCGTCCAAAGCCTAAGGACCATGAAATTCAAGCTTTGATTTGTGTGAAAGATATATCAGACCTTAATTGTGTAAAATGAGCCAGTAGAATGAGCTAACGAGGATTGTGAGATTCAATTTGAGTGATCCAGCGTTCTTGGGTTCTGATTAGCGAGATTTGAACAAGGGGTACTTAGTGTACACGTTGCTTTCATTTTAGTACTAGAGGTATGTGTTTAATCCATGGAGGTACAACAAGGGGTACTTTGCAGAGTCATAGAAATTAATTGCATCCGTCGAGATTTGAACAAGGGGTACTTAGCGTACATGTTGCTTTCATTTTAGTACAAGAGGTATGTGTTTAATCCATGGAGGTACAACAAGGGGTACTTTGCAGAGTCATAGAAATTAATTGCATCCGTGCAGAAGCAGCCTCAAAACATTAAATATCAGCGTTGTGAGAAGTTTGGCAGCTTATCCATACCTAATTAAGAAGCTTGATCCCCACTGTACATAGGAAAATTCTACCATACAAGTACAACAATGGATTTCCAAGGAGGAAACGAGTTCGAAAGGTTACAAATTTCATAATATCGTTGAAAGAACGTAGTAAGCGAAAAAAGAATGCAGTAATCGAAAACTTGGGCAAAAAAATATGATGGAATTAACAGTTTTCAGAAACAGAAAACATGAAGAAAACAAGATGTTTCTAGCAAGCCAGTGATGTTTCTAGCAAAAAAATATGATGGAATTAACAGTTTTCAGAAACGGAGGTAGCACCTCAAAGTCATCTATGAAACAGGCGTAATTCGGAACAAACAAAAAAATTAAGGCTCAAGCGAAACCATCTGTACCTGCAAATCCTGCAACTAAAGGGCCATTTACAACCTATATCACATACAGAAGTCCGCCATCTTTTCTTCTCCGTACAAGATTTTAGCTTCAGAGTGCTGCCCTCACGACTCCTCTTGCTCCTTCGCGCCTCATTTCAGCAGCTTTACCGCTTCCTCGGAAGTACATGTATACTTGCTGCACATGTAAAAAGGAGGGAAATGTGTTGTAAGAAGACCAAAGAACAAGTGCTAGCTTTTGTGAGAATTTGGCAACGAGAATTGGGTTGGGAAGTAGACCTGAATAACCCAGACGCTAAGCACTGCTTCTAGACAGAACATTCCAAATCCGATGAAGTAAAAGATCTGCAAGGACAGAAAAATAATAGTATCATCAACGACTGTATGGTTTCTCCCTTAAATTTTTTGAAAACATTTAGGATATGCTTTCAACCCATATCCTCTAAAGTATCTGAATGGGCGACCCCCATGTGGGTGGGGAAGCCATACAAAATGTTAGAAGAAAAATATACTTTTGGACCAACAATCTTACCCCAACCAAAGCATGGTCGCTCAAAACATCAATTGCAGCCAGAATGCCACTGTTTGAAAGGCACACGACACAGGATCATAAGCAGGATACATGGGAGAAAACATTTTCACTTCGTATATCCATCAGCATCCACCAAATAAATCCATTGATAAATCATAAATGTCTAAAAAATGCAAGGGAAATTCAATTAAACTACATACGTGAGAGATTTCCCATTGAAGAATATCGGAGGAGCCACCGCAGCAAAGATGCAGAAGCCAATGTGGAGCTGTAGGTAGAAGAAAATAGAATATGTGACTAACCAATTATGCTAAACGACAATGTGAACTGCATACCAACTACAACGAATTTTTTTTTTGGGACAGCTTACCATATAAAACATGAAAAACCATCCATACTTCAAAGCACTCTCAGACCTGCAAGAAGATGAAATGAGAGAATTCAAATCAATAGCATAGCTAACTACAAATTCAGCAGCTACATTCTGCATGGTTGAAACAATAACATATGCATTAGCACTAGATGTCAGAACAGAGGTTATTATATAATCCAAGTTGTCCAACGACATTGCTTAACAACTTGGAACTTGCAGCAAATGAACCAGATCAATTCCTCATAACCATCATCAATACTATCATACTACCCAAATCCAATACAAGTAGCATAGAGAACTAGGACACTGGCAGGATTTAATAAAAATGGGCAACATATACCTGAAAGTTCGGTACAGTGGACGGTACCACAGGACATAGGATCCAGGAGCCCCTGCTATGAAGTAGATAATAGCAAGGAACCAAATTTTTACCCCTACATTAAAAAATCAGGAAATGATCAATTTCACCCAACTTGGGGATGGAATCCAAAATGAATACTTGATTGTGTGCTGGACAGTTGCAAAGTATATTTTCACACTCACCATCCCCCTTAATCCATGCTGTAGTAACGGCTATTATATTCCAGAAAAGGCAAAGAATAATTCCTGCATAACACCATCAATCATCACAAAATTTAGACAGGCTTCAACGAACTTTAGTTTAGAAGTTTAGGATACATAAACAATAAAATAAAATATAAAACATCACACCACACAGATAGACTCACGGAGCTCACACCCAAAATGCAAGATGAAGTAATGCTAAAAAACAGATGATTAGAAATTACATCTGCTCAGCACAACAGGTTAGTTTTAGAAGCCAAGTTCGTGTAATGATACATATATAGACTGCCACCGACTTCTATACTTCTGATTGTTAAAATTTTTGGCTTTAATCAAATTGCAAGCCTCAACACCATAGTCCAAGATCCACCAAAACAATCATGATTTCCAGTAAAGGGAACAAAAAGCCAGTGTACATATGAATCTATATTAAAAGCAAGCGTACGTAAGAATTGTGATATAAAGTTGACACATAATTAAAACATCCATAAATTAAACAATGACTGACACACCTAACCATGTTGTGAATGCAACATACTGCAGCCTCTGTAAATGAATTGGTATTTCATTTGCAATATCATGATGGATAATTGGGAAGAAAGGTGGCCAATTTTTATCCTCCAGAACAATTCCAGCTGCAAACAAAAGGGAGCATGGAAAACATTAGTTCATAAAATTTCAAAGAACATCAAACTTGTACATGTTTTGAAAAACATTATTTTAAGCTCCCGCCAAATGAGGAGTAAGAAAGATTCAGTAAGATAAAAGTCAAAGTAAAATACCACGTGCGGCGGCAGCTTCTTTCCGTTTTACAATCTGCATAATAACACAAAAGATGACGGTTAAAATTTGGATGGGAGCAACTATAACAAGGAGTTGACTGAAACATTTGGTGCCATGCTTTTTTGAAGAATCATTTCACACATTCAGAATTTAGAGTTTCTTTCAAGTCATACCTCCTCCCGCTTTCTCAATTCAGCTTCTTTAGCTTGGAGTTCCCTCTCCCTCTTTTTCAAATCCTAAATTAAAAACAAACGAAAAAAAAACTGAGTAAACAAAAGAAGTCAATTTCAATTGCCTATCTAAACAACCTAAAATTAAAACTTACTGCATTTCCGTCAATAGGTATATCAACAGTGTCACCAAGGCCGTAGTTGAAACCAGCACGTTCAGGAGGAAGAGGTGAAAGTCTTGAGTTTTTGGCAGGAGCAACGCTTCCAGGATTCTGCTAATTATGTATCACGTCATAAGAGCTCAAGCAATGGGTAATAAAAAGTAAGTTGTTTATCAATTTTTACATATAAAGCCATTATTTATGTTTCATGTGCCTGATAAGTTTACAATAGACAGTGTACACACTATGCCTTACCCACAAGGCAGAGCTTACATCTGAAAGAAGGTAGATATATACACAGCTTGGTATCTACATGTGCACTCAAATATAATACATAGCTGGGATGCAAGAAGCAAGAAGATACTTTATAAATTACATTACCTATGTGTAGTCATACAGAATGCATAACTTTAATGGAAGACAGAATACAAAGATGCAGCATTCATGTGACTGACAAAATTTTCTATTTGAAGACCAAAAAAATAATTCAGCATCTAGAATCTCACAGAATTCTATTCATATTATTCCGAAATAAAAACACCTGTAGCGAAAAACTCATTTTCTATCTTTAAGAAGAGATTAAATATCACAAGCAAAGATAACGGCTTCCTTCTTCTTCTTTGTAAACTTCCATGGTGACACTAAAGATGTTAATCAGATTACAACATCACAGATTCACAGATTAATAGAAACTTTAACTATTGGGACCTTTCATACGTATCCCCTCCGCCCGTAATCGGGTGTTGGAAATTAGAAACAAAGACTTGTGAATGGAGGCATTCAAGTATAACAGACTTTTATTAATTGGATTACAGGAATCTACATCATATCTTACAATGTAGTGTCGCATCTGAAGTCGAACATTCTTGTCCTCTAGAGTCAAACCTATAGTTAATAACCCACACCAAAACATTTCCCACAAGCAAACGACAATGTCTAAGGAAGCCAACATATTAAACCCAATACATGGGCATATTTGATACATAGGATAGGCTTGGCTTGGACTAATCCTAGGGAAAGGCTTGGTTCTATACATGCAGGTCCTCATTTATAATGGCCTAAAATAAGGCCACCTAGGGAAGGTATGAACCCAGCTCCAGTTCTTAATTAACACCAAGTTTGATCCAGGATGGGATTGGTGTTAAATAGCCAATCCTATTCCTAGTCCTATCAATCAAACGCCCAGGGACTACTTAGACTCTGGAATCCCATTCCCAAAACATATCCAACTCAAATTTTGCAAAGAAAAACAAATTACGTAGTTGGATTTAGATAAGGTTATTACATCATAAAATCTAGAGCAAACTGATACAATTAAAACCCGAAAAACGCAGATTTACGAAGTTGGTTAAGGTAAATGTACTTGATTTACTTCAATTTCACAGCGAAACGCAGATCTTTAAATCTCCAAAATCCAAATTCAAATTCCCAGCAAGTCAAGGACTTTAGTCAACCAGATTGACCAAATCGGAAAACCCAATTTGCATTCAGTGGATTTCAGCAGAAACAGCAGCAATAATCATCGAGAAAGAAAACTCACCGAGAAGGGATTGACTTCGTCTTCTTCGGCAAATGGGTTACTGTCGTAGCGGCCAGCCATGGCGGAGAGAAAGAGGGAGAGATTCGAGCACCCAAAGGACCAGTCTCAGAGCTTGTCTGAGAGATCTGAGACGACGGGCAGAGAATAAAGGAAAAAACTTGTGAGGGAAGAAACAAAATTGAAGAAAAATATATTTTCAGGCACAAAAGAATGAAGGAAAGTCCGGGGGTTGAAGAAATGGAATTTCTAGAGAGAGAAAGTGAGTAGAACGGTTGCTTTGTTTAATGGTTTTTGTTTTTGTTTTTTTTTTTTTTTCTAGAGAGAGAAAGCGGAGGACTCGTCTGCTCTTGTTTGTCAGCTGACAGCCTGACAGCCAATGCAGCCTTGTTTTTATTTGATTTTTCAGATTTTGGGGGGCATATATGAAATTTTGATTTTTAATTTTGGGTGGTTGTTCTATTTGTTTTTAGACAATGACATTGCTTTTCTTTTAAAAAGACAATGACATTGATGAAGTGCTACCAAATCTCAATTTGATTGAAAGAGGTTACCGTATAAGAATGCGATATGTTTTGGTTACTGTTTTAAAAATTTCCGCCCAAGTTTTGTTTAGACGTTAAATGACTACCGCTCTAATAAATTTTCAAGCGTTTGAAAATTAAGAAAATAGAATTTAGGCAAAATAGAAAGTATTGAGTTATGAGATGAGAATGAGAAATATTTTAATTATTATTAGCGTTTCAAAAATCTTATTTGGTACTCCAAAATTTCTATAATTAGAAAGAAAAATACACTTGTGATGAGTGTAAAATGAGAATTAAGGAAATTATTATTAACACTCCAAAAATCTCATTCTATACTCCTCACAAATGTATTTTTCTTTCTAATTATAAAAAGTGATAATAATAATAATAAATTCGATAGATTATTGTGGTTATGCGTATTGTAATTGTATATTTGTAAACAAAAAGAAACTTAATGGAAAAGCTTTGGTGAACCAATCCACATGCTTTAGCTGTTGCTTTGGTTGTAACAAATTCCATTGTTTTTATTTCCAAAAATTGGTGTCAAGTTGTCAACTTCCAATAAATAATAAAAAAATTAGGCAAGCGTCGCATGCCGCGGCCAATAGCAAGCATCTCTGTTTTGTTTTGCGAGTTTTTCCTCTCGGTTTTTCCTATTGCACTTCTCCTTTTGTTTCCATCTCTGTTTTGTCCACCGATTCTCTTTTAATTCACTCGATTCGGAGCTAAAACAAACTAAATTATGATCGATTCAGATTAAAACGAAAGTTTGAAAATCAGTTCCATGCTTTTGGAATCGGATCCCCTCCGGATCCAATAAAACTCATCCTGCTAAGCAGGCGATCCGTACTACTAAAATTTAATCCAACGGCTACAAACAAGAAACCTCTAAAAGTTATAATGATTGTAACTGTTGAATCAAATTTCAACGATCCGGATCGCCTGCTCAGCAAACTTAATATATATGGATCCGGAGAAAATTCGGTTCCCCTACTTCCCTTCTCATTTGCAATAACCGACAACTTGGAAATTCTTATTTGTACGAAGGCACCAGCTGTAAAGACTTGGACTTTATTACTTGTACGAATAAGTCAACGCGTTGCTCATGTGCTTCCAGAAGGATTTGTTGTCTCATTTTTCAATTACATTTGTCCATTGTTTTCTTTGATTTTTGAAAATTTGAAAACTTTGAATCCAGAAATCATAAGAATTTGACATGAAAATAGAATGTCGATTGTCGGACGCTCTCCCCTTCCTCCTATAAAACTTTGTATAGCAAAGAAAATGAAAAGAACGAAAAACGCGACCGGAACAAGATACAGGGGGGAGGCAAAATCTGAATTGCAAGGAACAAAACTTGTGAAGAATTCAAATAATGAATTAATTACGGGTTCAATGAAACGCTACACAAACTATGGGGGTATAGAAGAGACCGAGCGCCTCTGAATGAAGCTGCACTAATAATTTCAACTAGCTCAGGTTGGATTTGTAAGTTAAGAGCTCAACTGGTTGTTGCGTTTACGCTGTTTCCTGCGTTTTAGGCTGCTTTTAAATGGATCAATCCACTTCAAGTCCTCTTCTACCGCGTTATTCCACCGCTCTTTGAAGGTTGTATACTCCCGTGTAGACTGCCTCCTAATCTGCATATGTAAAAACCAATGCGATGGTAAATAACGCATCACTCAAATATTGAGGATCGGATCATATGTAGAGAGAGGATTGGCGGTTTTGCATGATAACTTTGGCATCCATACTACATATTGGACAGCAGGTCTCACCTCAATTCGCATGTCATGCCCAGGAGCAGCTCGTTTCTGTATATCATTAAGAAAGAAAGAAGACAAGATCAAATTTAGAATGCTAGTAATTGTCGAATCTTTTGATGGGGAAAACGAAGAAGACAAAGAGATGGCTATTGCTTGTTGTGAAGTTTACCTTACTCTTCTTCTCAGGAACCTGGAAATAGGGAAAGAAAAATGGGAAATGTTAATAGCGAATGAACTAGTGAAAAAACTGAGCCGCCTATAAGCATTTAACACTCGCAAGAACGAGAACTTTGTTCTCTACCGGACAAGGAATAGGCGGAGATTAACTAACCTTGTCTGTCGATGAACCACCTTCTCCCAAAGTTTGTATTCCCTTATGAACAATATATTCGCTATCAACCACTCCCACTTTCTTGGTACGGTCTCCCTGCAAAATTTGGTATTCTAGTTATGGCCTGCTGAATGTTATGTAAACTGACTCGGGATTATTGATTTGAAAAAGCAATAGTCAAGCAAAGGTAAGAAACCTAAGCAATTTCTAGCAACCTAATGAGGAAATTGATCCTAACAAGAACCAGGAAAGTAGTTCTTACCTGTGCACAATACCCAAGTTTCATGTCCAGACCCCATCCATGTACAAGATCATTCTGAACAAAAAGAAAGCTGCTCCGTGAGGATATAATAATGAGAATTTTCAAAATAGTATTACGCCTAAATCATGCGTAAATCATGCAAGAGTAAAGTTTTCTTCAACAATATATTATAGTAGAGGTGAACAGACTAAGATACAACGGCTACCTGTATAAGATGCCAAGTACAATGCCAAGCAGCTCTTGAAAAAACCGGAGCCATGCCTTCCACAAACCTGCATTTGTCAATTTAAAAGGCTAAGCAACAAGGCCTACGCTCCATTCTGGAAAATTATAAACTATATCCCAAAAAATCAGCTGATTAGAATTCTTGCAATTCGGAAATCAGATGACTCCTTGGAATGTTTTGTCTTAATTGTTAACTTTTCTTCGCCCATAATGACAATCAACAAAAGAACATAGTGTTAAACTATAGAATAACTGTTAGCCCAAATCATAATATTTGATCCTAAATTCACATTCCAGTATCCACAACCTCCCAATGCAAAGTTGTTACAAGTATGAGAGAATCTCAGAATATAGAATAATTGTCAGCTCTCATCTCAAACAGATTTTAGAAGCAGTGGTAAACCAAGAAAACATACGAGGCAGGTCAGACCTCACAGCTACTCATCACAGAGATATAAGCAGCCAACAAATTCTTCAAACGTAGAAGGAATAGCTGTGTCTGTCTATTATACATTAATACCAGTATGACAACTCACCCGGTGCATGGTGGTCCCTGACTTGCTTCTGTACACTTTGTGCTGCCTCTGGTGTCATAAACTCTTCTGCGAAGAGTGAAAATTTTGTATTAAGATGCCGAGCACTCAGAAAAGTAAATAAATAGACCTTAAAAGAGTTGTTTTGAAACCACCATATTCACCTATGAAACTTCTTTTTTTTAGCACGAATCGTAATTCTATGATGTATATCTGTTGAATTTGGATGCAAAGCTGGCTGAGATATCTCCAGTCCCGCTTCTTTTACAATTTCAAGGTATCTGGGAAACAAAACAAAAATTTAAGTTCCCGGCTATCACGCCATATATGATCCAGATAAATAGCATGAAATTAAAACCATATGTTGCTTATGGGATCAAGTTAAAGCCTTTAGACAAAATAAACTCTCTTAAAAAAATTTCAGACAAGTTAACTAATTAAAAAATTTCAAACAGATAATCTTCTGAATTATAGTCCTAAAAAAGATATTTCAGCACAAGCAAATGCAATGAGAAAGCAATGAACTTACGTTTAATTGGTATGCCCTCACTCTAGTGTAATTACAAATAACTAACTAAAAAAACTATCCTAATCAGAGTGTGTTGCATAAAATGTCCTAAATTACCTTCCTGGATGAAAATTCTCAACCCCCAAATCCTCATCCCAAAGGAATATGTAATCATAAATGGACACAATATCTGGATGTAGAAAGCGTTTGGCAAACCACCTGAAAATAAACCATAAAATTTAGGATGAAGGAAAGAGAAATGAGAAACGGAAAAAGAAACCAGGAACAGCACTAGTAGGAACTGCCCCTTTGATAAATGCAACTGTGAGATTTTCAGAAGAACAGAATTTGCATGTTTTTTCATATCAAGATCGAACGAGCACATTGCAGGCAGTACATGTATGTTATATATTCAAGCCAGATAATAAGAATCATGAACGGAACTATTAACTTACCACTTTGTTTGGTTTTGGGCAACTATGTGTACAGCCTCGTTACTCCACTCAAGATCCCACCACCCATCAACATTCCCATCATAATGGAAGAGGATAACGGTAAAATTTTCTGGAAGAAACTGAAATGGATAAAATTAGGCTAGTGTCACTTGATGTCTTTTGGAACATAAAAAGAGAAAAATGAATTACTCACCTTTCCCACAATAGCATCAACACTATCCTTTTGCTTAATACCAACCGGAATAGCCAGCAAGTTACGGTTGCTGTCATCACCGACCTGAATCAGAATAACCACCCAAAATCACAAAGAGTGTCTAAGTCCACTTCATAATGAACAAACTTTAGTTTACACATTGAAGTCTATCAGTAACTGAGCAATCATCTATCAACTTTCTATTACTGAGGATAAGTTGACATGCAAGAAATAACTTTTAAGACGATGTTAAGTATGAGAGGATCAGAATCTTACCTTTAACATTGAACTACTTGTCAACCATAGAGGCCTTTGCTCTAAATCTGACCTAGGTTGTATAATGCCACGTGGTAAACTGTCCAACTTTCTCGAAGACACAAAAATTTCCTGAGGCAAGTATCAGAAGAACCTCAGGATATATGGAAGGAAGAAACACCCTCACAATGGATGATTCAATCATACAAGAGTTATACCGGACAGGTAATCTCAGTATTTTTGGAAATCAACGGAGGAGTGCTACTGAAGCCTTACTTTAAGGTATTATAGAAAGGCAAGAAAACATTAACTTGTCAACATGGACACAAGGATCGAAGCACTACCTTCACTGTGTCAAAGGGATTCCACTTTGCGTCCATCT